GTGGAGGTGCGTTTGCTATAGCACCCGCTGGCTTCCCTGGCTCATCAAGCAGCAGTCCGACGGCCTCAACTTCGCATCGTGGAGCGCTCAGGCACTAATTGGTCTCTCACGTGCCCGGCGTCGCTCAGACGTGACATCCTCCTGCCGGGCGCGAGGCGGCGAACTCCGATCGCGCTGCAGGAGACGCGCGGCAATTTCGCCGAATTCCAGATCCTGGCCGAGTCCGCCGTGCACCGCTGCATCGCATGCCACTCCGCCTGCGACGTGAATGCGGAGACCGCGGGTGCCGTCGGCGTCCTGGTGCCTTATGACTTATGATGCGCGGGAGCTTCGTCTTCCCGAATGCGAACGCCCTCGTCGCAATTTCCGCCCTCTCGTGCCTGGGAGGGTCGCCGAGCTGCGAATTCTGGACAGTTCGCGCGCGTGCGAGACCGCCGCCTTCAACGTGCACAACCATGTGTTGAATGTCGAGGAGGCACAGACGTTCCTGCGCGCTTAGGACATCGCCTGCGCTCGCGTCGCCGCCAGCGCGGACGCGCGTCACCTCGTCGTGACTAGCGACTGCAGCATCTCCGAGCTGCTGCTCGAGAGCCTCCTGCGCCCCGTCGACGCCTCCGCGACGGACCGCTACCAGTGCCAGTCCTCAATCTGGGAGTGGATCTTTGCGTCGATGGCGGAGGTCATCGTTCCTTCCACCGCCCGCCGCTGGCGGCCTGCGAGGCGGAATCCGCCATCGACCGACGCTTCATCTCCACCTCCGCCCAGAACACCCCCCAGCTGGAAGTCCGCGTGGTCATCCAGCGACGGCCTCCCGCTGGTGAAGGCTGGCGAACCTGCTAGTGGCCGTGAAGTATTCCATCTTCGCCGCCGCCCTCGGGCACGGCGCCCGCCCGCGGAGAGACGCGCCCCCGCCTGCGTCTTCGTGCCCGAGCGCTGCAAGTTCTACTGTTCGCGCTTGCTGAGCATGGTCGACGCGTCGGGCTTCGACCCGCTCTCGACATGGCGCGCGCCGAGGCACGTGGTGACCCTGGCGGCGCAGAAAACTCGCGACGCCCTTGTCAAGAAGCACCCTGCCGAGTTGAAGGGCTCCGGCCCGCTCATCTACCAGGAGGCGCGGCGCGGGCTATGACGCCCCGCAGCAAAGCTCGCGCCGCGTGGTGCCGGGGGCCTCGGCTCGCTCAGCTGCTGGCCGCGGGCGCCGAGGCTGGCGCCGCCTACTTCAATTGCGGCAGCGGCGAGATGTCCATCTCCAAACCTGACGACTTCGCGACGGAGGTCGACTCCGTGCGAATATGGCGCTCGCTGAGAAGTCGCGAGGAGGCCCCTGCCCGCTCCTGCGCCGCCTTTCAGGAGCTTTCCGCCAGCTCAGGGGCCACGTCGCGACCGCGGGCTCGTCGTGCTGGGCCACGGGGCGAACTCTGGAAGCCGTTTGCCATGCGCTCGGCACCTCCTAGCGCGCATCTCCACCGGCGCCCAGCTCCGCGTCGTCGCCGACCCGATGGCCATGCGCAGCGCGATCCAGAACCACTGGAGTCCCAGCCAAAGCCGTCAACGTCGCCGACGTGAAGCGCTGTCTCGATGGAGTCTTTCCACCTCGTGATCGTGCTGACCTACCGATTCTTGACCTTCAGAACCTTCAAAGCGTTGCCCGCAAGGCAGGCGACTCCGCGCCCGGACCTAACGGGCTGCGCTGCCGCGCGTGGCTCGACTCCCCTGGCTGCTTCGAATCTCCCTCCGAGCTCTCCCTCTCGCCCGCGGGCGGCGACGTGGTCCCCGTCGACGTGAACTACTGTGTGGTGGCCATTCTGCCGAAAGGGTGCGAGCCACTCGGCAACTTCGAATGCGCGCGGTCCCCCGACAACTTGCGCCCGGTCGCCATGAAGAGCAGCGACGTCGAGCTCATCGTCTCATCCGCTAACCTCAAGCTGCATCGCATCGCTGCCCGGGCCGCCAAAGAGCAGCAGGGCTTCGACAACGGGCTGCAATTCCTGAATCAGGTAGTCGAGGTCGACCTCGATCTCGCGCAAGCTAAGCATCACGGAGGACGCCCGCGCACTCATGCGTTGCTTCGCCAGCATGGACATCGCGGCCGCCTTCCCCAGCCTGCTGCATGCATGCATGGCGCTGGGATGTCCTCGCGCGCTGGGTCATCCATGGCCTATGCTCGAGTTGCTCCGATCCTGCTACCACGTGCCAATCACCTTCCTAGACATGGGCGGTGTTCGTCGTCCTCTTCTCATCGCCGAGTCGGGCGTCGCTCAAGGTGGCGCGCTGAGTGGCTCGCTGTGGGTGCCCATCTTCAACCCGATCATCCGCGCCATCGATTGCGAGCTCGACCACGTCGGGCGCGACCTCATTCGTGCTTGCGCTGACGAGCTAGGCTTCATCCTGACCGCACTCCGCGACATCGAAGATCTCTTCCCGCGTCTATTAGCTGCCCAACTCTTCGCAGGTCTTCACCGAAGGCCAAGAAATGCATCATCGCTCCGACATGGACGTTTCCCGCTCCCCAGTTCGCGCAGCAGATGAAGCAGATGCTCGCCGACATTTACCTGCCATGTGCGACTTCAGCATCGCCGGCTACGCGACGAATCTCGGCGCGTTGATTGGACCTGGCGCCTCTCCAAGCAGTGGAAGGGCCCCTTCCAGGAAGTGATGAGGCAGAGTCCACGTTCTCGCGATGAGACGCTCGCTCGCCGCGTCAGCAGAGCATCGATCTGTACCGTGTCGCCGCAGTCGCATGCCTCTCGTGCGCCGGCCAGCTTGGTGAGCCGTCGCCGTGTTCCATCGCCGAAGAGTTGCGCGCGCTGCGCATAGTTATCCGCGCTGCCCCGTCTTGCTTCACCAAGATGGACATCTGCTCATGCGAGCGGTGGACAGGAGTGGAAATGCCGCAGGGGCTCGATGCCCTGCTCTCGGCTGCGATGTTGCGCTCGGTCACGAAAACTCTGGAGACATGCCCCGCCTTCTTCGCCTGCGTCGCGCAGTTGCTGAAGATTGTCTTTCTATCTGGCAAGTTACCGACGGGAGTCGGTGCGCCTACTGCTGGGGAAACACGCCCTCCATCGCGCGGCGTTTCGAGATTGTCGCGCGCAGGAGGCTCGCCCCGACGTGCAAGGGGCCGATCCACAAGACGCTCAAGCACTCGCTGGGCGCGCCGGTGAGAGCCACCCGATCACTCCGCTGCCGTGCCGCTGCTGCTCGGCGTCTGGCGCTAGTGGAAGAGGGCCGCAACTGGGTCCTGAGTCTCGGCGCCGCGCAAGGTGAAGGGCTGGCGCCATCGGAAGAGGGTCGCAACAGGGCCCACTCGCGGCGAGGCTCGCTCAAGGCACAGGACAATCATCGAAGCCGAAGTCCCTTCAACAAACATGTCTACACGAGCTTCAGATCAGCATGTGCTGCGACGCCTTAGTCAAGACCATCCTCGAGCGCCTCGAGTTCTGGTTCCCGCTCCTCGGGCTTCGGCAACGGGCTCGCCCATCTCGCGAAGTCCGTGGAGACCAACCCACTCGGCCTGATCAAGGCCCCGAACAATCCATCGCCGACATGAACGAGCGCCCCGGAGCGCGGGCTACCGGATAGATCCCGAGTGTTCCTGGACCCCGAAATTCGGCGGCGACGCTGACTGGATGCAGTGGTGCGCCCCGTGCTTGACTGGCGCTTTTCGCCGCCCTCAGTTCGACGACCCGTTCGGCCCCTGCCTAGACGGGGACGGCCGCCTCCAGACAGCCGTTGACATCTGCCAGAGGAGCTGGCCTGCTACTGCATCGCGATTTACTTTGCTGCGCATCCGTCCGCTGCCGCGCGGCGAGAGCGCGGCGAGGAAGCTGTTGAGCATCGCGCTCGCTGTCGCTGGCTTGCAACGGAAGACATGCGCGGTGAAAATCAATGGTTAACTGGCGACGCTCCGCGGGGAGGCGACGAGAACCCGCCCGCGGACGTTGTTGGTATCCAGAACTGGCCCTCGTCGCTCTCATCAGAGTGGGTGACGCTGCGCCAAACCCTTTCTGGAGTACCTCTCTCAAATCTGTGGCCAGTTCTCAAGGCGCTGTCCAGCGCGTGGAAAACGCGCCACCGTATGCGCGCCCACCCGCGCATGCTCAAATGCATCGTCGGCTGCCCCGAAGCCGAGAGCAGGCGCGGCGTCGACGACGTCGCGCACTACCTAACATGCCCGCGGATGTGGTCTCATCTATGACAACCCCGCGGCTTCGTCTCCGCCAACCTTCTCCAGCGAATGTCGCTCAGTGGCGAGATGCCAGACGGCGAGAGCGACATCGACCTCGCTAACCCGCGCATGGCATTCGCTTACAAGACCTTCAACTTCCCGCGCGTCCACGAGCGGAGCTTCCTGTGCCCCTTCCCGACCTCCCACGCCAAGGTCAGGGCTGCGGACCACGGGGGCGCTTTCCTCAACAAGAACGCTGCGGCTGTTGCTGCTGCCCGCCGTGCCCTGAGGCTGCTAGCTTGCCCCGTGGGTGGCGCCTGGCCGCGCGGCCGTGCGTGGTCGGATTGATCGTCCCCTGGGGAGGGGCGTGATCATGGAGAGGGGGGGATGAGCAATGCACCAAAGGAGAACATCGGGACGTAGTCGCACGAACATTCTGGGCCCTATTCAAAACCTCGCAATCCCCCGCGGTCGTTGCCAATGCAACAGGCGCCATTCGGCATGCAGCCGCTTGGAGCTCCGCTCTGCGTGCCGGGGGCGCGTGGGCCGAGAAGGTGATCCAACCTGTCTTCAGCGTAGCCCGCGGCTGGTGCGCCCACCAGCCCAGTGGGGCGTGGTGCGTGTTATTGAGCTCCCGGCGGGAGGCGCCCAGGGAGCTGCGCCCAGCCACGTGGTGGCGCACGCTGGAATGGGCGCCCCCGCAGGAGGGGCCAGTCGCTGTAAGCTCCGGCCTGGTGGTGTTCCATCGTCGCGTCGGGCTGCGGGGCGCCCCGCAGCGGAAAATCTTGAGGTGGATCTTGTCCTCCATCGCCAGGGGGTCTGGGAAGGTGGACTATGCTGGGGCCGAGGAGGCCTCGAGGTCGATCTGGTCGACCCCCTCCGCGTCGCTGCGCTCGGCGCTCATGCGGGCCAGAGCTCTCGCCCAGCATGCCTGGCGGATCAGGTGTGGCACCATCTCCTCGCCGTTCCAAAAAATGCGCCTGCGTCCGCATACGCGCCGCACGCGCGCGTGTGGCTCGTCCGCCGGGCGCCGGGATTGCACTCCGCGCTCAGGGTCGTGCTGCAAGAGCTCGAACGTGACGGCCTCGAAGAACACCTCGAGGAACGCATTCCACTGGATGTCCAATGTGTGATCCGGTCGACTGCCACGAGGACCGCGCCGAAAATGGGTTGCATGTCGATGTTGGAGGCCCAGAAACGGCCCTGGTACCATCATGTGCACCTCGTAGACAGCACCGCTGACATCGTAGCATGGACGACGTCTAGAGGTGGCAGAGAGAAAACAGGTGAAACCCACGTCAATTGTGGCTTCGCGTAGGCCCGCACGGCCGTAGCCCGGGCTTCGCTTCCACCAGGGAGGCCGCGAATGGCCTTCAGGCATTTGCGGACTTGTCCCAGCCCCCGGCGGGGATGATTTTCGCGTGCGGGTCGTCGGGCACGGCGAGAATTCCAATGTGCTCGATCTGCTTCTTGTCGCCTCGCTTCCAGCACTGGCGCTTCCCGACGTTCTCGATGCTGCCCGTGCCCGAGTCGTAGGCGTCGGTGGCCTGCACGTCCGCCTCCATCTGCGAGGGGGAGTCGGACACGGCGGACCGATCGTCCATAAATAAGCATTTTGTGCCATTGATGTCCCAAGGGGGAAAGCTCCTTGCATAGCACCTTGCGGGCAGTACTGTCGCCCTGCGCAAGGCTGCGTGTGGGCCAGAGGGTCTCCTCGGCCAGCTCTCCCGCCACCTGGCTCGTCCGAGGTCCGCGCCAGGCGGCGTTGGCCACAGCTCGGACACGGCGTGGCGTCTTGGCGTTGCGCAACGCTGCATCTGCCATAGCGTGCGGCACGTTGTCGTAGCACTTCGACAGATCGCGCTCCAGCCCGCACTCGCCGTGCTGGCAGGCGTGGTGCCAGAGGCAGCAAGCGTAGATCACCGTGGAGCCGGCTTTGCACGCGAATTGGGCATCTTGCGGCGTGGGCAGACTCTGCTCGCAAGCCGTGAGCCAGGCCCGCATCAACACCGAGCCCACCCCAATGGGGCGGGACTGCGTGGGGTCCTTCTTGGGCACCCCGACAACGCGCCAGGCGAAGATGAGGTGCTGGAGCTCGACGCCGGGGCGCTCCTCCAGGAGGGTCTCGCAGGTGTCCCGCCACAGCGTGTAGAGGTCGAACAGGAGGAGTTCGAAGTGGGTCGAAATCATCTTGAGCTCGCTAGAGTGCCAGCCGTCGTAGCCTGCGCTGCCCTTGGCCTTGCGGACCGCGGCCTTGAAGTTGGCGTAGGTGGGGTACCAGTCGTCGTGGCACTCGCGCACGCATGCTCATCGTAGGTGGGGGGGTCCGACGGGACCCACACATGCTTCCACTCCTCCGCCATGTCCGTGGCGTTGAAGCTTGGGCATTCGGAAGGGCCGTGGACCTCCGCAGCGGCTGTGCGCCACGTGTCGGTCGTGAAATGCTGGGACAGGCGACGCCATTCGGAGCGGCGCTCCCGAAGCAGGTCCCTTTGGATCACGGAGACAGCCGCGGAGACCTGGGCGTGCGCGCGCGCTTCAGCATAAGTGGGTCGGCCGCGCGGGCCGGCGTTCAGGCGTCCTCGACGGATCGAGTCGACGGATTGGTCCAGGACGGGCCCGGCGAGGAGTTCGTGAGCATGGTCGCGGAGCTGGCGTGCCACTCGGCGACTCAGGCGCTTGAGGCGGGCCAGCTCCACAGGTTCGGAGGGTCGGACCGCCGGCGTCGTGGCAGCCCTGCGCGAGGTAGGCAGCGATGCCTTGGGGCGCTCAGCGGCGCCGTCTTGCAGCAGCCGCCCCCGGTGGGTAGCCGCTGGCAGCGTCCGCTCGGCCCCGGGCTTGACACCGCTCTCATCGCTCGGGAAGGGGGGCGGCGGCTTCGCAGAGGGGCAGGGTGGCATCGATCTCGCTTTGCAGCTCCTCGACGTCGTTCGGCAGCAGGTTGGTGTCCGAATCGAGCTTGGAACGCGCCGTGCGGCGCATGCGTGTGGTCTGCGTCGTGGGGGCGGCGACCTTTGCGCTGAAGGTCACCAGGCCGTGGTGCGGGATGAGCGGGAGGAAATATACACCCTCCAACGTCAGCTCGATGCCGGCCCCCATTGCTCGCGTGGGGGAGGTGCCGGCCAGGGTGGTCGGTGTGGCCGCCGGGCACAGGGAGGCGTGCGCCAGCAGCGCGTCCGCGTATGATGGTCGCCAGTTCAAGTCACCAGCGATACACCATGGCACTGGGGGTGTCCCACGGACCACGGTAGACGTCCAATCCACGATTTCTTCCATCCAAGGGACGGAACGTACGGCGGCCGGCCCGTAATTAACCAGATGTGAAGACTCCCAGTTTGGTACGAATAGATACTTCACGATGAGAAGCGGCTCTATGCACAGCAACGCGCCCCAGTGAGGGGCGCCAGAGGATAGCCGCGCCGCCCTGCTGGACGGCACGCTTGGCGTTCCGGGGTGGTGGCGTTGAGCAGACCACACGCTAGCCGTGCTGCTGGGCAGGGCGGGTGACCCACGCGGGTTTGGAGGAGGCCAGGCGGACCTCCTGAAGGCATAGCACGTGTACATGACGAAGTGCAGGAAAGGTCAAAATCTCTTGCAGGCGGTCCGCTCGGATGCTCATGGCGTTCAGGGTGGCGACCTGCAGCTCCGTCCTCCCCTTCTCGTCCCCCCGCCGTACATGGGGTCTACGGCGGGTGGGCACCTTCAGCGAGCCGCAGCCGGCCGCCAACGAACATGGCCGTCTTCTTGACGAACTTGGCCCGTCCGGTGTACCCGTACTCCTTCCTGCGGCTCTTATCTTTCTGCCGCTTGATCTTGCGCTACTGCTCCGGGTCGGCGAAGCGGGCCTGATAGAGCGCCTTCCGCCTCCCTCGGTACGTCTTTTCGTACTTCGACTTTTTGATACACTCCTTCAGGTGGATCTCGAGGGCCGCCTCCTCCCCACGCGTGGCCGTGAGCAATTGATCGCCCCCTTCGGCGGACGTTCGCTCTTCCTTCTTCTCCTCCTCCTCCCTCTCCTCCTCCTCCTCCTCCTCCTCCTCCTCCTCCTCCCGCGCCTCCTCCCCCCGCAGAGGCGAGCCCCCCCTCCTGTTCCTCTCCGTTTCCCAGGAGGAGAATCAATGATCAAGGATCCACGGCGAAGACCTCGAAGTTTTTTTTCGTTCCGGAGGTGGTTTTTGGTCATTTCTGAAAGTTCCCGTCGCCGCGGCTGGACGCAGGTCGGAAACCTGGCCAGGATGGACCCCAGGAGGGCTCAAGGGATTGATTTTGACGACATGACCGATGCCTGCATATCCAATATCACGACGATGTGCAAGATGACGTTTCTCACAACTCTCTGGCTCTGGGGGCCGTTTTTGGATTCTACAAAAAACGACCCAGGATGACAAGCCGAATTGGTTCCCATAGGCAGGGCTCGAGTGGCCTGCGGCCCGCGTGTTGAACGAACTGGTGTGTCAGATGTCATGCGAAATTCAATCCTCGAACATCTTCCTCGGGCTAGGAGGGAGAAAAGGCCCCGCCAGGCGACCTCCACCTGGAGGCGCCCGTGCCCGACCATCCGCTGCTACGGCGCGAGCCCCACCACCAGCACCACCAGCAGGATGGCCGCCAGATCGGCCGCCCCCCCCCCCGCGCGTGATCGGGCGGGGAGGTGGCATGAGCAGGGGTGATCATCTGTATCCGTGTCAAGGCGTGCCCAGATGCATCAGCGGAGCGAGAGGTCACATCATCATCATCATCATCATCATCATCATCATCATCATCATCATCATCATCGTCATCATCATCATCATCATCATCATCATCATCATCATCTTTAGCATCATCATCATCATCATCATCATCCTCAGCATCATCATCATCATCAGCATCAGCATCATCATCCTCAGCATCATCATCATCAGCATCAACATCATCATCATCATCACCATACCATCATCAGTCTCTTCATCATCATCGTGAGCATCAGCATCAGCATCATCATCATTACCATCATCATCACCATCATCATCATCACCACCCTCGTTATCATCGTCATGAGAAGCAGTATCATTATCATCGTCGTCATCGTCATCGTCATCGTCACCCTCAGCATCATCACCATCATCATCATCATCATCATCATCATCATCACCATCCGCACCACTACCACCATCATCATCATCATCATCATCACCATCACCACCACCATCATCATTATCATCGTCATCGTCGTCATCGTCATCCCCTTCATCAGCAGGGTCCTCATCATCGTCAACATCATAATCATCATCATGATCATCATCATCATCATCATCATCATCATCACCGTCGTGGCCACCGCCATCATAGTTGTCATCAGAGCAAGGGGAACCCATACCGCTGCTCGCCCTGAAGAGCCCTTGTCACCACTGGCGACCGCACCCGGGGAGTTGCGGCATCGGTATCTCTGTGTGCTCACACAGAGCCCCTCGCCTTCCTTCGTGAAAGAGTCACGGCGTAAGTTGTTTGCCTTTGGTCGTCTGTGTCGTCGTCGTTTGCTCACGCCGCACAGGCGGACTCAGCACCCAGCCGCACTTCAGGCAACGTGGGCACCGTCTGGGTCGCAGCAGCCCCCCCTCGCCTTACGTATTGTCCTTCTACTTGGTGTCCTCTTGTTCCGCTCTCTTCCCTTGTCGCCGTCGTCGCTGCCGTCGTCGTTTCCGCATGGCGTTCAACTTCTTACAGTGCCGATACGGTCGGACCGAGGTATGCGATCGAGGTCAGACCGATGTACAATATCGAAGTATCAGATCGAGGTCGGACCAGCCTCCATTTGTGACTGAAGAAATGACATTAACGTAAACGTCCGAGGGTCAGCGCGGCTGTCTCGAGTCGGCGCTGGACCCCTCCCCATACCCTTCTTTCAGTGCGCGGAGCGCGCCAGGGTCTGGGGAGGGGGGTCCAGCCGCGGACCCGAGGAATCCCCGCGGGTCCTGTGCCTCCGCCCCCCCGCCGCCGAGGACCCCGAGCGCCACGCCTTCCGCCTGGTCACGCGCGAGCAGCCGCCCGAGCCACCCCGCAGCCTCACCCGCTTCCTCATGGCGGCCGTGGGAACACACACACACACACACGCACATACAGACAACACACAGAACACACACACACATCCCCCCCCCCCACACACA